TTTAATTAAACACAGGAACTATCCCTGACTTAACACCAAAGCAAGCATAATCTATTTTTTTTATTATTAATGATTATACAATCTTCTGAGCACTTGACCCAGAGGCTAGCAACATGCAATTTCACAAAAAAGGTAAAAATAAGAACAGTGGTCAATGTACCAGACAGTCATTTCCTTCTCACACAGCCTGCTACGACCTCAAGACCCCTGTAGCTGTCTAAGTCCCTCCTCAGCCCTCTTCAAACACCAAGCCCCATGACTGGTGGGCCACAACAACCCCAGACAAGAAATCTGCCCCTGCAAGTCAGCAACTTCTGTCCTTCTATATCCAACAACTCCAAGGAAGACTTAATCTAATTTTCAGAGCTTCCGTGAAAGGAAGCTCACCTTTCCTGGCAGCTCTTTTCAATCTAGGAACCCAATAAAACTTGCAGCAATCACTCCAACCATTGCCACATCGTCTCCACACTCCTTCGGGAGGAATCAAAATATCTCGATTAAAGCTGCCATCTCCCTTTCTTGGTGGAGGCCACCATTTTCCTCCTATTCTAGGTTCCCACACTTTTAGTTTGTCAACCCATCTATACATTACTCCATCCACAGTCTTCAGCCAATACCCCTTAGGGTCTCAAATTTTATACAATGCCCTTGGAATATCCTCAGAAACTGAATTATTCATCATGACCAATTTAAGTCCAGTGTGTTGATACACATCATACCATGTGCTATAGTTGGCCACACATTCGGTACAGTTTATCCAAGCCTGAAAAGCTTCCTCGGGCTGCAGGTTCTCTCCCATGACCTGCATAACTGCCTTGACCCCAGCCTGGGCGATCATCTCTGTATAATTTCCTGTGAAATTTCCTGCATCACAGAAATCACCATTGATCTAGGAACACAGAACATGAAGATCAGATAGAAGAAGACGACTAGTATTACAAGAAGTATTTATATGGAGGAGGGCATGACATGTGCATGCCATAAAGCATGAGCTTGGGACATGCAGGCATTTCTCCCTTGGCCCTCTAGAGGCATGCTAAGCAGAAGATCTGAAGGGGCACTGAGGGTTGATGGTCCACAATGTTGGGTCCCTCATCACCAATCTCTGCTGGCAACATGTCAGGCATCTTATATGCCGTCCTTGGCAGATACCCATTAAGTGATCAAAAGGCAGGACCAGCGGGACACCTAACCCGAGCTGAGTGCTGTCCAGTGCTCAGCAGTTACTAAAATGTGTGTCCAGTCACAAGGTTAAGCTCTCCTTTCTTCACTTCCTTGCTGAGTATACAAAGTGGACAGTCTAGTCACATGTCCTGCCCCACCCTCACGGTAGACAGGAACTCGAGAAGAGAAAACTTAGGACTAGGAAGTTTAGAAACAGAGCAGGGTGTGTGGATAGCAAGGGTGACATCTGCTCCCCTAGGAATGGACCCACTGTGTGAGTTAACACAGTGAAGGCTCAAAGTGAAACTTTAGGGAATAATGCTGTAGCCACGTGTATACTGTGTGTTAGCCCCACCAGGGCCCTTCCCACAATCTCGAGAATCTGACCTATGACTCTACCATATACAACACATGGGGTCAAAGTCCTG